CGGTAAAATGCACTATGTTCCAGATCTGGTCCAGATCTGGCCCGGAAAATGGTGTGAACCTAGCCTATGGGCTTGTTCACACCATGTCCGGATCATGTCCAGAACAGAACAGTTTGTTGCAGGACCAAAAAAGCATCCCAATGTATCCCTAAGGCATTTCTGGGCTCTGTTTACATGAGCACGGTTCCAGGCCAGACCAAAAAAAATACTGCTTGTCTCATTTTGTCTGGTCTGGAATGCACTGGAACACATTAAAACACATCAAATACACATACAAACACATACAAATGCACTGAAACACACTGGACTGCACCTGAAAGCCCATTTTAAGCTTAAAAAATGCCCTGCACTGTGTTTGCAGATGTGCTCCAGATCTGGTCCGGACATGGCGTGAACATACCGTAGCCTAAAGGAAATCACAAGTCACCATTACCTTCTTTCCAGGAATGCCAGGAATTCCTGCTTGACCAGTTAGCCCAACTGAACCCTAACATATGGAAGATAACAAAGTAAATGAAACATGTCACAAAAGTAGAAAAGAATTCCGTACTACATAAATATAGTGAGAAAGAAGGCTTCATAAGCATAAATGAATGTAATACAGCTGTATGTTTTTACTAAAGGGAACAAAATGCAAAGCAACACGTTTAGACTCAATCCCATGCTTGACATTGCTATTGGTCAGAGGTCAAACCGTGTATTTGCCATGTATATAGTGATAGAATGTCATAGGAACATCTCCGGTAATAGTTTTTTAGAATATGGCAAGAACTGTTTTTTTTTAAATTAAGAAACCATAAAGGAACATATGGAAGATAATGATCGCCTATTGCAAGAAACGCATGCAGGTAAAAGCCACACTCGTTCTCACTGCGGTAGTTTTAGCTGTTGGTTTGATTGCAAATCATTAAAAGTTAAAGATTAAAGTTGTATTTACCTTAGGCCCTATTGGTCCAGGGACACCATTCATTCCAGGCAGACCCTGGGAAAACAAGCAGCACAAACAAATATATATTAAAATGATATAAACAATGGCAAATTTGTGTGGTTGATGTAGAAAGACTACAAAAAGTTGATGGCTAAACATGGAATCATCTCTAGTCTGTCTAGGGAATGTTCTTCAGCTGGCCACTTGCTAGCATTAACCGCCCTTCTTCTAGTGTCCAGAAAAGCTGATGTCCAATCCAGGAGTAAATGCTGAATAACTTTTATTGAACATCTTCACTGGGGAGAGAGGGTATAGGGATCCTAAGCTTCCAGGGTGTAACAGACAGACTCCAGACTCACCAGATCTGGTTAGCATATCAGTGTAGATCCACTTGGGAGACAGCGGATAGCAACTGAAGTAGCAGATGAGCAAGGATGAACACAGATCCTCATTAGGAGAGACACCGGCCGTGCTCCTGAAGTCCTTTAGGTTCCAGGAAACTTCAAGAGCCTGCATTGGTCCCGGTTCTCTTCCTCTATCAGCGTTGCAAGGCCTCCTCCATGTTGGGAAACATTTCCTTCACATCAGCCTATGCCCACGCCCAGGCCTCAGGCCTAGCCTAGGTGGTGGCTGGATAGCACCAGCCCTAATCCATGGCTGGTCCCGGATAGTCTGAGCACATGGCAAATCCCTCCAGTATATGTACCCTATCCCAGCATGCACCACTGGTTGAGAGAAACCCAGTGATTGGCTGCTGTACTGTACATACACTACAGTGCCTCTCATTGGTTGTCCCACAATATGACAGAGTCACACTCCGCCCAGGGGGATACAGTCAAGGCCAGACACCTGGAATTAACCAGATAACTGCCACTATAATCCAGCCAGGCTGACTACAGCCCTAGCTATCACTAAGGGGGCTATTCACAGAGCTGCCGAAGGCAGCCGAGTGAATAACCCAGCCAAAGTAAAGTGAGCCGAACGCTGTTCGGCTATTCATTTGAGGCTTGTACAGCTGATTTCAGCCGTACATCGGCTGAAATCAGCCATACATCCGCTGAAATCAGCCGTACATCGGCTGCCTTCCGCTGCACTTCGGTCAGCCGAACATGCTCTGCATGTTCAGCTGAACCGAAGTGCAGAAGGACTTTGACTCAGCCGATCCAACATCTGGATCGGCTGAGCCAGAGCTCCGGCAGCTCACTCGCTGCCATTTGCCCCTATTCACAAAGGGGCCGAGCGGCAGTGAGTGAATAGCCGAATGCCGCCGAGCAGCATTCGGCACGGCTATTCTGCTCTGTACCTCCGTGGTACCAAGCACAATTAAATGAAAAGAGTGAAAAAAATAAAGTTGAAACTTTTAAAAAAACATTTAAATAAATGTTAAATCTTATAAAATATAAAGGTTTTTGAAAAAATAAAAAAAGTATGTTTTAAAAGGAGAGGAGCTAGCAGTGACAGCTAGCTAAGCCCAACTGTTTCCTATTGGCCGGGACCTGATAGAGTCTTCTAGCAGGTCCGGCCAATGAATAACAAATGGGTGGACCCAGCCGTGACATCGGCTGTCATCTCAGTCAGCTGAGCTCGTACAGCAGCCCTTCAGTACAACTGAACCAAAGGGCTCCGGCGGCCAAAGAGAGCCGAGGGATCAACTGAAGCTACAGCTGGATCCTTCGTCTCCTTTGTGAATTACCTGGTAAATATCTAGTAGCCACAGCACAGAAGGTGATGGAGGCTACATATGTTTTTACATTTTCTTTCCTAACTATTAACCTTATTTAATAAAAAATATGGGGCACTATTTATTAATGTTTCTCCCAAGACGCACAAATTTCCACCCAAGATTTAATGTGGGAATTTTGAGTGAAGTTGTGCAAATCTTGGTGAAAACATTGATACATAGATGCTTAGTGTTATAGCGGACATATCATTTTTTTGTTTTTTTGTTTTTTCATATTAAGCACTTAGTTTAATACTTAGGAGTCTATTTATCAATGTTTTCACCAAAGATTTGCTAACGTTTGATGAAGATTCACACAATTTCACTTAAAATTCAATTAGAAAAATGTGTGATTCCTCTGAAAAAGTTGTGCAAAACGTGGAAGAAAAATTGGTAAACAGACCCGTACATTTTTACAATTTTTAATCATTCTTGCCCTGACAATGCCTTCGTCTGCTTTTCTCTCTAGGTCAGTCCCATCTTTATTCAGGCTTCATTGGAGGCTTGCATCTATTTCCTCTTCTTGGATTAAGATTCCTGGCACATAGCTGATACTATCATGTAAATCCTGGTGCCTGTGCAGGTCTTGGCTGTGCCCTTATCTGCTTTTCTTTCTAGAAGGTTGGTGCCACCTTGGTTCAGGCATCATCAAATGTCTGTATCTACTGTCTAGGTGTTGGCTCATACATAAAATAATTGTGAGACTCATGGTGATGGTACCATTTTTGATTGTGTTTCATCTGCTTTTCTCTCTAGATGCCAGTACCATCTTTTTTCAGGCATTATCCAGAGTCAGCATCTACTTCTAGAAATGCTAGTTTAGAGATGACACAATCATGGAAATCCTGGTGCTGCAGAAGTTCTTTACTTGCTGACATGTTACTTTATGTAGACATGCTGCTTCCTTTCACCTTTCACCACAGTTATAACTTGCTACAAAGTTGTTTGTAAGGGCTAGTTCGCACCACCCTCAGTACGATACGGCCCGATTGTGGCCGGAACGCACTGGATCGCATTCCCACCAGGCTCACTTTGTTTTGGGGCGGGAGGGAGCATGGCTGTGCATTGAACTCAATGCGATTGGCTGCATGGGAACACATGGCACATCGGTGCCTGCGTTCCGGTCCGGTGCAGTCAGAAAAAATAGTGCGTGTGTTGTTTAATGACAATCTACAAACACATACTTCTAGATAATTGCCAGCTTTGTATTCTTTGCATACCTTATTTCTCTTTTCTTCCCCAGTCTTCTGACAGTGGCCATGTTTACTAAGGGTAGGTTACTAGATCTCCTTTGCCATGCCATGATACCTTTCTACTGTTTACTGTTCAAAGCCCATTTCGTGTGCACCTTACTGTATAGCGGGTGACAAATTGTTGAGTGCGTTTGTCATTTGTTTTGCTAAACATGTGACCATGCACATCATCTCAGGGGAGGAAAATGCCTTTCCCTGAGATGAGAATTCCCAGCAATGCTCTGCTGATGTTACCTTCCCATGATGCAATGCTTTGGCAAACTGAAGTCATTTTCCCTTTTAAAGCAGGAAGTGAATGCTCTGCAAGTGTGTCAGTGTTATTCACACTAGGGTGAAGAGTTTGGAGAAGGCAGGAGAAGTGAACAATCTAGGCCAAAATAGCTGATTTGCAAAGATTCTCCAATTCAACTCGCCTTCCAGTTCATCTATTTTGTCCTAGAGTGTTCACTTCTCCTGCCTTCTCCAAACTCTTCACCCCTTTGTGAATAACCCTGTAAGTATTTCAAAATCACAGCATTTTACACATGACATGTCTTTGCTATTATTAATCATCATACATAGAGGGATGCATTAGTAGTATTTGATTTTTGAGTGTAAAGGTCCGCTTTAAGGCTTTTTATAATAAATAGGATTGTGTTTTTGGAAACACTGTACTATTGTGATATGGCAAAAAAATCTTCATGTAGGCTTGTAAAATTACTGACAGGTCAACTTAATTTCAGTAACCCATCCCAAACAGTCAGAATCCATTTTTCACTTGTCTGACATTAGCAGGTAACTTCAAGTTGGTTTCTAAAGGTACTACACTTAAAGGGAAGATGGAAGGGAGAGATATGGAAGCTTTCATTGCTGACTCCCTTTTTAAGGTGTAGGCCGTCATTTGTAAGTTCTGACCTAAAACAATCAGGCATTGAAGTCTTCAAATTTTCGCTTCTGGTTTGCAGGTTTGTTCCCAGTCAGTGACTCGCTAGGCAACAAGCCAAAAATGGCTGTTCTCATATTTGTGTCAATTGTTCCCTTTATGAACTGGCAATTAATTATAGAAACTCTTTATTGAATAAGGCTGATCATGTCTTAGAATGACACATAAATATTTTACCTGATTTCCAGGTGGCCCTGGATCACCTTGAAGCCCAGGCAGCCCTTGTGATCCCTGAATCAAAGAGGTAAATAGACAATAAACATATCTATGACATGTTGATCAGATATGTTTAACATGCGTTGTAATTCTAGTAGCTTATTTAATTACAAAGGTCATTGGAAAGGTTGTAAGGGTTACCAGTATTTCTACACTAGTTGTTAACCGAAGCCCACTGTACTTGCCATGCATTCCCGGCTAGTCTACTGAAGACTCAGCTATTGAAGTCAATAAAGTTTTCCTTCACCCTATCCATGCATTTGTTATCAACATTAATATGCATATATCAAGACACATAAGGGATACAAACAAACCCTTTGTCCTGAAGTGCCTGGTATTCCACGTAGTCCTGGAGGTCCTGTCAAGCCCTGAAAAATATTTAACACATATCCTTCAGAAGTTTGCAAGTGTAAAAGCACATGTATTAGAGATGTTTTAAAAGGAGAGGAGCTAGCAGTGACAGCTAGCTAAGCCCAACTGTTTCCTATTGATTTAAAGCTTTGCAAAACTACTAAGGTCTAAGTTGCTCTCTGCCAACTATGGCCTTTCAGCATCCATGGCCTATTCAGATTGATTTGGTATGCTAACATTTTGAATAGCACCACAACGCTCTTTTAGGGCCAAATCACACCATCTGCGTTGGAGCCTCGCTGGCTGTTGTTTTCAGCACAGCCCCAACCCAAGACAAGGCAATTGGCCTCATCATGGATGGTGCCCATTCACACCACAGTGTTGCAATAGGAACGAGGTGGTGTGCGATGAAAAAAAAGTAAGGCATGCCTTACTTTTTTCAGCGCAGTGGAATGTGATGCGGTACAATTGCCTCGCACCCCACTGTGCCCGTAGAACTGAATAAATTGTCACTTGTGACATTTCAATAAAGTTCTAACAAAAAAAGTACACAGTGCGATGCGCTGGCATCAGCGCTTCGGCACTGTCCCGGGGGACTGCATAGCAGACGCTGCGCAATTAGTGCAATGTCTGGTGTGAATGGGCCGTTATAACAGTAGACAATGCACCCACACCCAGAAAAATGAATGTGTGTTCAGTGTGCTGCTAGTCCATTCTGCTTTAACTTAGCTCACCTTAAAGCCAAACTCCAGGAAAAATAATATTTAAAACATTGCACTGGGTGTGTAAATTATCATTAAAAAGCTGCTTCTTTGCTGCACCATGTGTGGAATGCTCTGCAAAGTATAAAAAAAACTTGCACATAATGCTGGTTTTCTGTGCCCTCCAGGGAGTGAGGGAAGCAACTCAAGCATTGAAATGGTCCAGTTACATCCTCGCCCCTTTCTTTGAGAAAATACAACGCTTTTGTAAATGGGCAAGTAGTGAGGGGGGTTTGGGTTACGACTGGAGCACTTCCCTGCTTGAGTTTTGATTGCTTTTTTGTTTATTTTATTGGGAGGACGCTAGTTTGTGTCCTCCCGTTACCCTAAGGAGAACTATGGGGAAAAGCCCTGACCCCATAGTTCTCCTTTAAGAAAAGTGTTTTGAGACTATGATATTCTCATTATCTATTATATAAAAGACCAACAAGGCTATTCATAAAAGGGTGAAGAGTTTGGAGAAGGCAGGAGAAGTGAACAATCTAGGACAACATAGCCGAACCGGAAAGTGAGCTGAATAGGAGAATTTTTCCAAATCGGCTATTTTGTCCTAGATTGTTCACTTCTCCTGCCTTCTCCAAACTCTTCACCCTTTTGTGAATAGCCCTGCAAATGATAAATATGTCATCATAGTTCATGAAAGAAAAAGGTGATCACCATTTTACATGCAAAAAAATTACTCATTAGTAACTGATTAAATAATATGCTATAACAATGCTAGGGCAGTTCATATTTCCCAAGCATGATCCATCTTGAATTGTAGGTGTGCATTCAGTGTAAACAAAGGACTGACAGGAAATGGCTTCCTGTACATTCTTCTACATATTCACATAATTATCCACTTATTATCCACTAACAGATAATCCCACTTACTTCTGGTCCTGGTGCTCCAGTAGACCCAGGCTGACCTTCAGGACACTGACAAGAAGAGGATGGCACCCGCTCGAGTGGACACTATAAATTGTAAAATATATCCACACACATATATTTCACTTTATATTCATGTAAACATAGACGACTATATAAGAGAATATATACTGTCTAGTTTAAAAGTGTAAATTATATCAATAGAATATACTCTCTACTTACCCTTTGATCATTCTGTAAAGAAAACAAACAAAAAAACAAAGCTTTAAAATTTCAACCCAGGTGGTTTATGAGTTTATTGTTATTTCTATTGTTATATCATTACAATATGGACTTCTAGGAATATACATTTTATCAGAAAATAATGTAAGCATGTAATATACTGCTTTTCATATAGTTAATTTTTATTTTTTATTTTAAACACATACCACAGTGTAGATTTCACAGGCCGTCTCCCGTTCACTCTGACCTGGATCACAGTACAATCTTAATTTTTGTATCTCCATCTAAATACATAGGAGGATATTGGAAGTTAAATACAAGTGACAGCATTACAATATTTCATGTTTAATTCTGGAATTCCAGTAAAATTGCATCACTCAATGTTTTGATTGTAATATATATATAGATCTATATATATATATATCTATAGATCTATATATATAGATCAATATATATATTGTGTGGCAATCCCACGGTAGAACTGGGGGTTGCAGTCACCCAGGACTCTCAGCCAGAGAGGCTGAGCAGTTCCAGGAGGCAAGTTCCTGTACTGGGAAAGAGCTGACTTTGCGGTTCTTCCCAGGTTTTCTGGATTTGGCATGGGATCCTGGAACTGGGAGATTTCTAGGAGAATTGGGAGGGATGAAATCTCCATTCCTGGGTCCATTGTTTAGTAGTGGCCAGCACCTAATTGCACACCTGTGCACAGCACTTATTGGAAGGGTGCTGGCTAATGTTCTGGGCTCCAGCTGGGAAGAGGTATTCAGGAGTCAGGAGGACTCCACCCAGAAGTGAGAAGGGAGCCAGGTGGCTGTGTGTGCTAGAGGCACATGGAAGACAGCCAAGGAGGCTGAGAGAGCCATTTACACATGGAGTATGTGCGACAATCTTTGGTCGGTGAGACATTGTCTACTTGCTGAAACATTAGCAGAGTGTATGCTGTGTTGATGAAATAAATAAAAGACTGTCCTGTTTATGTTTAAAACGGCTTCAAGACTGTTCCTTAAGCGCTCACCATATGTGCTAAGTTCCCCCGAACATCACTATGGGGTCTATTCACGAAGCTGCCGAAGGATCTAGCCGTAGCTTCGGCCGATGCTTCGGCCCCAGGACCCCTTCGGTTCGTAAGAAAAGAAGGGGTGCTGTCAGGGCCGGATTTACCCTCATTGCCGCCCCAAGGCCAAGTTCCACAATGCCCCCCCGCGCGCCGTATTGTGGAAAAATGTAAATTTTTTTTTACACCTAACTTTATTGCTATCACACAGGAGATAACAAGCCCCTTCTGGGAGTCTCCCGCTCCCGGCCGCCCAAGAGAGAAGCACTGCTGTTTCTTTTTTTTTTTTTTCTGACACGGAGCCGTCTGCCTGCCGGAGGTTTGGCTCAGCCGAACCAGATGTTGGATCGGCTGAGTCGAACTCCTCTGCACTTCGGGTCGGCCAAACATGCTGTGCATGTTCGGCCGACCCGAAGCCACCCGATGTACGGCTAATTTCAGCCGATATACGGCTGAAATCAGCCGTACCAGCCTGAAGTGAATAGCCGAACATGGCACATTTAGGTATGTGATTTAATGTAGAAAGTTTGGAGTTTAGGGTATTCACTTTACTGCCTAAATAAAGTTAGTAAAGATGCAAGCTTCCAGGATAACTTAGATTCAGGGCTGTCCCTATATTGTGCCAGCCAAAGGCAGTTGCAATAGACGGCATCTCATTAGGTCACGTGGGGGTAGCTCTTAGGAACCTGTAGCGCCCTGGCCAGTGTCCCATCCAGCTTGTGGCAACCAGTGATGTCAGTAAGCTGAGTGGGACACTGGAGGTAAACAATAACCCCCAGTCAAACAGTCTAATGCACCACCAGCACATCCAACCCCATTAGGCCCCCCCACCTCAAATCTTAAAATGTTTCTAAAACCGATATATGTTTATGCACAGACAGCAGATAGATCCAGTCAGGGGTGTCCCTAGCACCCTAGCATAATCATCGCCTGAGGTGGCTGGTAGTCACATTACGGGGGAACTGGTGGTTACAATCGGGGGGAGGCGTAGCTGGTGGTCATTTTTTGGGCTTGGGGGTGCCACATCCCAATCAGCTCCTGGCAAGAGCTGGGCGGGATGCCTGCCAGAGCATCGTAGGTTGCTGGGAGGGGAGATGGGTATAGCCCTTACACATCGCCCCGCTCTTAGCAATCTGGGAAACTCTGCCTGCCGACGCCTCACAAGACCCAAAGAGATGCCACCTGAGCCAACAGCCTCAGGCTGCCTCATTATAGGGATGGCCCTGAATCCATTGCTATTGAATACAAATAAATAAACCTCTGTTTATCTCTGACCTCAAATAGGCCTCTATTCATCTTCAATCTTAAATATTGCATTCTTGATTTATTTAGGTAAATGTGTTTACAGTGCTCGGGTTTCAATAAGACTGTCATCCAGAAATAGAATGGCGCTTTTATTTTTTACAAGGATCTTCAGCTGGTGCCATTTCTCGTCAAATAACTCCTGCGCAAAAGTATTATTACGTTATTACATCATATTTGATATATTTCTACTCTGTCACCATTTAAACCTGAACTCTGACCACAAAAATACATTATATTCCTCAAGTATATTCCTCAATAGTCACAAACGATATAAAACCATTTTATGTGCATCAAATGCTTTTGCAAACACAGTTATTACCTTTAGTAAGTAATAAGGACACTATCACTGTACAGAAAGTCCACCCACTACAGACCACCTGCAGAAAACTATAGGAGGGGTGGAGACAAGACCAGTCACCCTGCACAAGCCGAGAGAGCAGCAGTGACCGGTCTTCATGACAGGAAGCCTCTGCAGAAGTGACCGGTCTTCATGACAGGAAGCCTCTGCAGAGAAGCAGTTTCACACTGGAATCCAGCACAGATCTGGAAGAAATACACAATGCACACCAAGAGTCTGGTAAGAATAAACATGCCTCTTGTACTTAGACAATATTTGATCATTTCAGAGTACAGCTTTAATGCTTCCTGCGTTCTAAATACTCTGACAGGTTAGTAAAACTATAAAAAGGTAATCTTATGTTTGCTTGTTTTGATTATGTATGGTAGGCCACTAACACTTTATTATATCAGACTGCTTAAAACTCTGTCAGGAGGTAAAAAACCTTAAGGGCCCGTTCACACCAGATGTAGTGCGTTCCGTCCCGATTCTGGCCAGAACGCACTGCCTCGCATTGCGGCCGGCTCACTTTTGTGTGGGGCAGGAGAGGGCGTGGCGGGCCATTGAAGGGAATGGCACCGTAACCACACCCTCCGGCCACAATGCAATCGTCCGCAAGGGATCGTAAGGCACATTATGCCTGCGGTGCAGTCCAGTCCGGTGCAATCAAAATAGTGCTTGCAGCATTTTGATCGTACCGGACCGAAGGCATAATGTGCCTTGCGATCCTGTTTACAGCTGATAATGAGATCTGCCAGCACAGTACAGATGGGGTTCATTATGTTAACATTAACCTGCCCAACAACTTTACTTTCAAAATAGAGCATGCATTGTTTAAAGGAGAACTATGGGGTCAGTGTTTTTTCCCCATAGTTCTCCTTTAAACAATGCATGCTCTATTTTGAAAGTAAAGTTGTTGGGCAGGTTAATGTTAACATAATGAACCCCATCTGTACTGTGCTGGCAGATCTCATTATCAGCTGTAAACAGGATCGCAAGGCACATTATGCCTTCGGTCCGGTACGATCAAAATGCTGCAAGCACTATTTTGATTGCACCGGACCGGACTGCACCGCAGGCATAATGTGCCTTGCGATCCTGTTTACAGCTGATAATGAGATCTGCCAGCACAGTACAGATGGGGTTCATTATGTTAACATTAACCTGCCCAACAACTTTACTTTCAAAATAGAGCATGCATTGTTTAAAGGAGAACTATGAGGTGAGTGAAAAGCACCCCCCTCATAGTTCTCCTTTAAGAAGCTATTTCATTTTTTTCTAGGTTATGTCACATGAATGAGAAATATGTAACAAATATAAAATAAGTGTTATCCCAATTTGGCTGCAAAAGTGGAAATTAACTTTAAATTTCCTAGAAAAAACTAAAAGGAGCGCTACTACCTGGGGGATGTTTTTAAAATAATTCCATCATCATTCGTCTGTATCCCCCAGGTAGTAGCGCTCCTTTTTGTTTTTTCTTGTTTGTTCAAATATACAGAGGTCCTCTCCCCTTTAAAGGATACCACACACTGATTACCACCATTAATAGTAATGTAAATAATTATTAGTAGTGCGCTTACCATTTTCTGTTTCATACTTTACATTTCCTGACTACACTGATTCTTACCTTTAATTTTGGATCTTTAAACTTAATCACTTGGGAATTTGCATTTAGTTGTGTGACTGTAAAGATGACGGATTTGTCAGTGCCATCGAGAGTGACTGCTGCCTGGACCTCTCCTGCATTGGACAGTATTCTCCATAGATCAATGATGTCCTGTTTTTCTGGAGACTGTAAACGTATGGTAGCCACAAACACATAGGAGGGAGGCAGACCCTCTGGAAATATTTCCCTGTTAAATATATAATGTCATGTAAGATTACATAGTGAAGAACAAAATAAATAAAGTATAACTAAATCTAAAGACATATTGTCTTATAGACAGGAACTAGAACTGTATGATTTAATTTTAAGAATAAAAAATAAAAACAAATTAACGAATGTGAGAAAAAGGAATTCCGTCATGCAACTAACCTCCTGTATGTTGCAAAACGACTACATGTTGTTCTTGTGCAGGCAGATGGTTTGGACTTTCCTCCAAAATGTATGTCATATTAATTTATTTTCTAGTTTTAAATACAGTGGGTTATGATTAGAACTTCTGTTGGTTTTTGCTGCTATCTGGAGTTCCATTAAAGAGATTTACCCTCATTTCTGTCCTGCACGCAACGGTTTTACCAGACAGGAAGTGAGGGGAAAATTAGCAATAGAGACACAGATATTAATAAAATCTGGTGCACCCTTTCACCGTGTTATTTTGCTCCTGGCCTTCTGCCTGGGAAAGATGTCAGTATGGAGTGTGCTCTCTATTTGGGCCTTGCCTTAGTCGGGGGCATGTGTAGGGTTGCCACCTTTTCTTCAAGCGAAACCCGAACACTCAAGCGACGCGCGGACATTTTTATGGGGAGAACGAGTCGTGGCTTATTCATTTGTAAGTAGCGCCACCCATTCATATGGAAATATAACAGTTGAGACTATTCTCAGTGGGGGGCCAGTAGCCCCTATCTTAATTTTGGTTGCCCCTGTCTTCCTGACATCTTGTGTCCGTGTTTCTGCTGCCATGAAACCCGAACACAGCATTCAAAACCTGGACTGTCCTGTTGAATCCTGGACAGGTGGCAACCCTAGGCATGTGGTGGAGGTCCAGAACTTTGGCTGCTCTGCTCCAGTATACATCTGGAGAGAGCTGGACTTAAAAGATGGTTGCCTGGACGAAGCATCTGTAAGGAATCTTCTTGTTTAAAACTAGCGGCTGCGTAGAAGCTACTGCTGGGCATTGCAAGGAGGCGTTTTTGCCCAAAAATCAAGGTACTTGTGACTGCTATTAGAGGGTAAAGAGCCAGATTTATTAGAGAGAGATCCAGTGCTGCTCAAGAACAACTGTGACTGCTTTTACAGGGTCATAGATCCATCTGGTTGCTCTAAATGGGCAAGAAATCAACAAAAGGCCTGCTAATTCCAAATATGTGTTCTATTTCTGAGCTCTTTTTGGACATTTTGTACCCTTAATACCTCTCTCCTAGATCTGAGTTGAGCAATAAAAGGTAAAAAGACTAAAGTAACTGGTGTTTAACTTATCTTTCTCCCCACCACATGTGAAGCAACTAATTCTAAGATGTAAATGTTGGCTTGCCACACTACATAGAGGGTCATTCTGTATGACCCCAGAAGGAGCTACAAACATATAACTACAATCCTCTCCAAACTGGTGTGAATGGTTTTATATACTCTTTAAAGTTCTGAATAATATGCCACTATAAAAAATATTTTAAATAAAGGGCTGCATTTGTTTGGTTTTTCACATTATGTCAGCAGCCCTAGGTGAACTGCCATTGCAGAATATATGCAAGTAAGTGTCTTTGTAAGAGTATGACCCCTATACTGTGATCAAAAATACTGGTTCTACTGCAAATCAGCCCCAGTGAGCAAGCACATTAATAGTGGAAACCAGTTTGTTTATGCTACCTTATATGCATGTTTTCAAATGATAGACACTGGTAATAAATTTCAAACACGTCAAACACAGCTTAACAAAGCCTGTGTACGAAATCCCTAACCATTTCTAGCCATACCATGACCTTGATTAATTAGAACATTTACAGACGCTTCCATAGAAGATAAACAAACACATTATATTTAGCTGATATGGAATCTTCTATTTATAAGCACCTTCTAAAATGGATATTCCCTTTAATTTAGCAACATTTCTACCAAGTTAAGATATGGAATCAAATCCTTTGTATGAAGAACAGTTAAATGTATAAACCCTTCAATTATTTAGAATATCATATTAACCTCATACCTGGTGTTTTCAGTCACATCTACAGAAGGTGTAAGAAGATAGGCTTTTTCCGAGACCAAAGACCCAGTTATCATCTGACCTTTTTTATGAATGTTCATTCCCACAAGCAGCTCAAATCCCTTCTCATCCCGTGATGCCACAGGTATTCGAGTAGGACACACAGATTCTGTGAGAAATTAGAATATAACATACTAATCATGATAACTCAACATGGCATATTTTAATGATGTTTAGGAAGAAGCAAATATAAAAACAGTTGCGATATATTCTTCTTCAATAACATTACCATTTTCAGATACAGATATATACTGTAGATAAACATATTAATCTATCTAGTATAATAGTAAAATTCATCTTTAGAAGCCCAGTGTTTAAATAAGCTATTTAAGATTAGGATTTAAGATTAGTGATTACACAGGAAGTTAAAGTAGAATTATGGCCTCACATAAAACATATTTGCTTCATCACTTAATTTAAATATAAGTGCATCTGCATTTTTCTTTGAGTCCACCGGCAAGGTCCCCCAAAAACCTGTTACGCCTACCAGTAAGGTCCACCTAATACAGCTTCCTGTGATGGGGTTGCAACAATGCTGCACTGCTCATGAATTCAGAGCCAAGTTGCCACTCCAATGTAGGCTGTACCTGCTTACACTACAGTGGGATAAGAAAAATGGAAAATTAAGCTTAATGCTAAATGGCATTTCTTGGTTATGTTATGGGGCTTGAGCATTACATAATTACTGGATTTGGGGCTTATTAAGACTGTCCTACAGGAGCCTTGTACTTTAAAGTTTATTTCCACTTTTGCAGCCAAATCAGGATAACACCTGCTTTATATGTGTTATATGTTCCCAATAACATAGCATAACTTAAAACAATTTAATTATCACTTGTAAACCAGACGAGCAGGACTGTCTGTCCCAACAAAAGGTTAAAGCCCTGAAGACATTGTATGTTAATGAGGAGACTCTCAGTCTGTCCTAAGTCTTTCACTTCGTACAGTCAGAGTTTGCTGTTACTGAAATTGAGAGAGGAACATTCAAAAGCCTGCTAAATAGAGATATCTAAAAGGTAAGACATATTCTTAAAAGAAAACTATGGGGTAAGTGTTTTTCCCCATAGTTCTCTTAAGGGTCACAGGACGACATATACTAGCGTCCTCCCGTGACCCAAAGCTCAGTATACCGCGAGCTACAGCTCACGGTTTACTGAGGCCACCGCAGCCGGAGCGGATCCTGACAATGATGTTGAAATCCACCCAGCTGCATGAATGACAGCTGGCTCTGCCTATCTAGAGGCAGAGCCAGCTGTACCCGCCCCCTTCCCGTCCGTTCCTCAGTCAGTGCTGGAGGATTGGAGCGGGGAGGGGGGATTCCCTGCACGAGCAGTGACTGACGGTCACTGATCTCTGCAGGAAGATGATCGAGAAGTGAGCGAGCGACTTCCTGATCTATTGAGCCGACGTGTAACAGTTTCATTGTCACAGGTCGGCTCGAACTATGAGGGTGAGTGATTTTCACTCACCTCATAGTTCTCCTTTAAATATAATTTTACATATGCTGTGTGAAAAGAAATACATAACAAACATACAGTAGGTTTTTTTTTTTTTCAATTTTTACTGCAAACGTGAAAATAAACATTAAGGGAAATTTCCATACAATGGTCACAGACAGAAATAAAATCTGAGGTTTTAACTTGTTCCCACTCTATCCAAAGTTAAAGAATTCCAATTTAACACTGAAACATTTTAGTCTTCGAAACTTATTGTAATCTTAGTTTTCAGCTCGAGTTTTAGCTAGTTATTCATTCTGCAACAGTGTGAGAAACAATCTGATAATACTGAAAGTAATAAACTAGATGTACAGGAAGTGTTCTTTCTGAGGAGTACCTCTACATGGTCTATCCCCCTCCCTTTTGCCTTTCATTATCACTTGTTCTCTTTTGCCGAATAAATGTTGCTAGATTTTGGGCTTCTGAATGTGATTATGTAGCATATAATGATCCTATCCTCTAATGGTCCTATCACTGGAGTGTACCATCCAGGTATCTCCACTAATGCATACAGTTAATGTATTGACCAGCACATTAGGCATACCATGGACCAAACAATGTTTAGTGTAGATCCCAGCAGACAAGTCACTAGACATGTAACCCCGCAAATAATTTGTTTAGTTTCGGGTCAATTCGGATTTTCATTTCTTTAATTTTTCAGATCCAAAATTTGATTTGTTTCGTTATTCAGATTTCAGATCTGTCCAAATTTTGATCTCTGAATGAAGTCACATGACCGTGCCTTTAATGCAAACCCCAACAGCCAAAAAAAACATCTAATTGGCCAGAGAGCGGTCTCATGTCCGATTTAGTTTTGTTTTGAATGAAATTCGGACGGAACTGAATTGTCATTAAAGGACCATTCAGATTCTTTCGCATTCGGACTCATTCAAATTCAGAAATTTGGATGCATCTAGATGTCCAAATTTAATGACATTTGGATGAATATCAATTTGCAACTAAACGAAATTTACATGTCTACAAGTTACATCTGCCAATGTATTTAACCAATTCTGGTCTTAATCATAGTGATACCATGTTCAAAAAGAAGTCTCTGGGAATATGATACAATAATCACTTGTAAGGTGCCCACAAGAAAACAACTGAAAGCTAAAGTAATTTGTTCCCCCATCAACGCATTCCATAGAAATTGACATAAGAAAGAATTATATTACACCTTCAAAATTGAAAGGACAGACACTTCTAAATCATCATTATTGCTTTCTAATGACCTCCATTTTTCTAATATTATTTCACTCGTGTTACAGATTTTTTATATATGAGAAATCACACAATACAGTCTAGCACCATGGCACCGAAAAGATCACTATATATTTTATCAGAATATTGACTATGCATATTGAAAGGGCTGATTAATATTAAAAATATATTAAACCTCAATTGAACCTTCCTAATTTATTATTGTAATGTAGTCAGGCTGCATACACAGTAATGAAAATGCTTCATTTTACTTTGGTTATATTTGCTGCAGCAAGGGTTGATATACCCTGGGCTTGTAGCACTAGAAGAGTTGGACTACCGTTCTCACACACATGCATCAGCCCAGTGCTCTGACATCCCCCACACACCCCCAAACACTGCTCTAATCAATAGACCACTCAAGGGACCAAGAGCACTGTTGATTACAACAGTGCTCGATGTAAGGGGGTCAGACTGCAGGAGAGCTGGGCTGCCGCTTGTGTGAAATAGCTGCGGTACGAATCCCCTATATCAGTGCTCCCCAACCTTTTTATCGCCGTGGACCAGTCAACATTTGGCGATACCTAATACTCCCTGTCACTAGCACTAACTGCACTACCCATTCACTAACACTAACTGCACTACCCATTCACTAACACTAACTGCACTACCCATTCTCTAACACTAACTGCACTACCCATTCACTAACACTAACTGCACTCCCTAATTACTAACACTAACTGTGCTCCTTATTCACTAACACTAACTGCATGTGTGTCGGCCATACCCCCCTGATGGCGGCCCATAGAGCTGTGAAGGGAGCATCAATTTTCTTGTGAGGGGCAATTGCTCTGTTAACGTCCCACCCTGGATCCACCACTGGTCACACACTCCATTAAGGCCCCGTTCACACTGGGGCAGTTCGGCTGCGCTGTTCCGCCAACATGAATGATCCCATACATTGCTATGGGGACCGTTCATGCGACCGCGCGGGTCAGTGCGATCCAAACTGCCCCTGACCCTTTTTTTTGCCGTGCTGATTAGTGCGGTTTCCATACAGATTTCAATGGAACTAATTAGCGTAGTTTGGGGCATTTTAATTGCGTTTCAGCGCTGAAACGCAATAAAAAATTACCAAAATCTGCCTTTTGAAATCAGTGGTTTACGGATCAACGTGGAAACCGCACTGATCCGCAATTGCACTGGTGTGAATGGGGCCTCATACTAATGTGACTTGGTACCAGTGTGAGGAGAAAGAGTTAAAAAAACACACACACCCTACAGCTCAGGACCTGAAGACAAAGGGGGAGAGAGAGAGTTAAAAAAAAAAACACACACATGCTGCAGCTTAGGAGCGGGAGACACAGGGGAAGGGAGAGATTTAAAAAAAAACACACACTGCAGCTCAGGACCAGGAGACGAAGGGGGAGAGAAGTAAAAAAAAAAAACAAAAAAAAACGAACACACTGCATCTTAGGGCCGGGAGACAGAGGGGAAGAGAGACAACAAACTCACCTACCGAGTCCACAGAGTAAACATTTCATGGCTGTCAGACGGCAGGTACAGCCACATTGGATCTACAGTCGCACGCAACTGCACAGACACAGCAGAGTGAAACTAGGGGCGGGGTCCAGCTCACAGGGGTCGAATCTCGGAGCCCCATACCGCAGCGGCAGCCACTTACCCCCTAGGATTTTTCCACCCTCACCCTTCAGCGCCCTCAGGCGGCCGCTTGAGCTGCCTTACGGTAGCACCGGGCCTGACTATGATTAAGACCAAGATTGGTTGAAATGTGTTAGAGGCTGTTATTGTGTCTACTAAAATCTGCATTAGATATTCTTTAATTCAAGAAGAGGTACGCCTTATGTTTTTGTTGAACAAGATGTACTTTTCTGGAATGTTCTAAATACATTCTGGAATGTCCTAAATAATACTATGCGTGCAGTCATTCTTTTTTTACTGATTACTGATTTACTGATAGAGCTGAAAGAGTATAAATTATTGTAATTATTCCAGTGTTGCTTTGATTACATTGCTGGCTATGATTTACGATGCCTTCTTATCTGTTTAGTACATCATACTGTTTCTCTCTATACTAATACTGCTAATAATCAGGGTCATTTATCATTATATCCACTTTATTGAGATTTTTCAGTAACAATTTATGATGCTGCCTTTTAAAACGTAGCAGATATAACAGATCTCTGCTGTGCACTTACTCTGCAAGAGGTAAGGGAAGCCAAAATTACTAGATTACACAGAACTGTGAACAAATGCAGCTTGCTGATTGGAGCACAGAGATGACCTCAGCATTTATCTGCTAGTATCCAATAAAACCCTCAACTCAGCTTTTTTGCTTTTACTGCAGTGCATAAAATTGGATCAGAATATGGCTGGATTGAAATATTGGCTG